AGTCTCTTAATTAGCATTCCCACTCAAAAAAAAATTGCCAGATAATTTGCAGTATATACAAGTTTGGTTGGGTGTATGCATCATGCTGTTTGCACACCTCACATGCATGTGTCGGCATGGTCAACTGCATACACGTCAGATGATTGCAATTATTTATACGAATACACATATATATATACATCGAAGGATTATCTGTAAACTTATCTTCCTCCAGAAATCTCCTAGCTTAGCTCCTTATTTCCTAGGGTTCTTTTGGCAAAAGTCCATGGATAAGGATTGTTTCCAAGGCTTTGTAAGGATGCTTTGACTGATCGGATGTTTAGATACAACCATTTCAATGCTCCCTCTCTTTCGATTTATTAGTTTTGTTTATTACTAGGTAAAAATTTCAAGCAATGAAATACGAGTTGTGTGCCACAAAATAATTACATATCAATTATTTGTTGCTGAAAAAATAAAAAATAAAAAAATGAGGTGGAGGGCTTGCATCTGTGTGATGCTGTGGGTGGCTTGGAAATGAGATCACTTAGATATACATAGGATATATCATTAAATTTGTGTTTGCAAGATCCCTAAAAAAATTGTATTTGCAAGAAGTTTCGATAGTATACTTTGTGTGACATATACTTGTATTTTATTGGTTAAATTGACGATCTAAAAATACAGGTAATACTTATAAACCAGAAAGTCGGGACTAGGAATACAATCTATGGGATCAACGCCTTCATCAATAGGAACTCCTTTGCAAGATGAGAGGCTCTTTCAGTTGTGTAGCTGGAGGGAGACGAGAAGATCAAAGCGCCCAATGAAAGTACAGCGCAACATTTCAACATCGAACTTATTTATTTATATGAAAGGCATTGCCAATACAAAGCAACAACCCAAGAGTCTTACAACAAGTATCAAGTCTTTCAAGTCTTCAAAATTATACTACAACACCTTCATTTCTTGTTGCCATAGTATATTGGTCAGGACGTTTGGTACCAAGTAGCTAGCTGCTTGTCGCCTCTATATAAACCATGCCATCCTTCAAGCTCAGAGCACACTGCAATTTGCAAGCACAGAAGCAATACTTGATCCCCAACAAGATCGACTAGCTAACTAAGAAGATGGCCCTTGGCAAGGTGACTCGATCAGTTTTCGTCTTGTTGTTCCTCTTGTTCTTGTTCTTCTTAGCATGTTGCTAAAATTCAAGCTTTTGATTTTCGTCTGGCAGGCGGCTGCGAGTTGGCGCTCCTGGATCACGGGCGATACCACTTTGGTAACTAGATTAAGCCGAAGCTCACCTCTTTCCATGTTTAATTTCCATGAGCCAACATATTACGCGTATTTTCTGCCGTACCTAAATTAACCTGGCTAGCTGCATCCTTGCATATGCATGTTCAGGTGAAGGTGCAAGCGTTCACGGCAAACAGCGGGTATCCATGTGAGAAGACGCATAACATGTTTCCGGTGATGGTGCGGGTCACGGCACTGGACGAGGTGGGAGGCTCCAAGCCGCAGCGGCACGTTGGTGTTGATATCGTGGCTGTACTAGACATCAGCGGGAGCATGTTCGGGGACAAGCTGGAGCAGATGAAGCAGGCCATGACAAACGTCATTGACAAGCTCGGCAACGACGACCGGCTCTCCATCGTATCCTTTGAGTCCAATGTGTACCGCCTCATGGAGCTCACATACATGTCTGAGCAAGGCCGGAGAGCCGCTCGGGACAAGATCAATGAGCTCTTCACCAAAGGTGGCACCAACATGGGCCCGGCTCTGCACGAGGGAGCTCAGGTAATCCCTTGACTTGGTGAATCTGGATGGATATTGGTGTGGTGGGCTAGCAGCATGTACATTGAACTTTTTGACAAAGGAAATTTTATTCATTTTATCGACTCAAGAAGATGCAGTTACAAAGAATTCATACCAGGCCAGACGATCACACACACAATGATTTTTAAGCAACTTACATGATCTTGCAAATTAATCAAAACTATTTTAATATTTTCAGCGATCATAGTTAAGTAAGTTGCTTGTAGAACCATGGTTGTTAGCTATGAAACACTCGAGAAATTTATGTTGTGAAAGACTTGGGTACTATTTTAGACCCCAAAATGTGATGATAATAATACATGTACAAGATTTCATGTATGGAGGTTTTGTACTTATAAATTGAACATTAATTACTAAGTACTTTTACAAACTATATTTCTCGTCTTTTGTATCTCATACACTTTTCAAGATAACACATAGGCATATTAAGTAAACATACAAATTAAATAATTATATTTGAACATTTCTGTGGTACGTGTATCAAATACAAAATATACTCATTAATGAAGAAGTTTGCACATCTCCATGCATGTGGCACGTAAGGGCAACCCCAATGCAGTACTACTATATCTAATGTCATTAAATCGATGTTTAAATATAATAGCCTCAATGAACTCACTTGCTTTACACGTCTCCATGCATGTGTTTAAACATATAGCACATATGGAAGACTTATTGAAAAGAGGGCACTAAACCTACGAAACCTACTTGCTTTTCATCTTGCTATTCTTACTGTACATACCCCCAGTGTATTCTTAATCAAGTGCCTGCTAAGATTAGATTTAAGCGGTGTGTCTTAAAATTTTCACCTATTTGTTCTATCAATGATCGATCAGTGCTACATACATATAGGATTTCCCTGCAAATAGAACGTCGGTTTTATAAGCATGGAAAATCGAATGTCTGAGGTGAATTATGTAGCGAACGATTGTAATAACACTTTTACTTAATTAATATATGAGGTTGGTTAAAAAAAATCAAACGGCCGAAGTGGCAAATTATATTGTCGCGAGGATGACAATTTTCTTTAACAAGCATGGCAAATCCTTGCCATGTTCAGTTTTTTGCCAGGAATTGTCATACTTGTTATAGGAAATTGTCATCCTCACGACAACATAATTTGCCTAAAACCTGTTCGATTTGCCATGCTCAAAAATCTAATGTCGGATTTAGTATTTCTGTACATATATATAGCCATGATTTTTTTTTTCGAACGAATTCTTCCGTCCATAATTTTTTCCTGTTGTTATGCTAGGTTTTGCGGGGGCGCCAAACTCAGGAGATGAGCAGCCGTGTAGGTTGCATCGTGTTCCTGTCGGATGGTTTGGACGATGGTATCTTCAAGGAAACTATTAGCCCTGATTTCCCAGTGCACACCTTTGGCTTGGGCGACGACCACGACCCTCATGCCTTGAAGTACATCGCCGACCAGACCTCGGGCACCTACTCCTTCGTCAACAAGGACCCCAAGAAGATTAACTACGCCTTCCAGCTATTCATTGCTGGCATCACGTCCGTCGCCGCCACGTCCGTCGAGATCACCCTCGGGACTCCTTATGGTGTCCTCATATCGTCCATCGCGTCTGGAGGCTACCCCAACAAAACTGGCGCCGACGGGCGGTCTGGCACCGTGCACATCAACAACATGTACGCCGGTGACAAGAAGAACTTCATCGTCTACCTGGTGCTGCCAGCCACAAAGGAGGGCAAGCAAACGGTCCTGACCATTGGTGGCCAGTACCATGGCCTCAGTGCCGTGAGCAAGCAGCTGGCCGACATTGACGTGTCTGTCATGCGACCACTTGATAAATACTCCAGCAAACTATCCGAGGACCATGATGTGGCACAAGAGCTCGCACGGGTGAAACGGCTGAATGAAATCCGCTCAGCTTATGAGGCAGAAGAGCTCGCACGGATCAATCAGCTCAAGGCCAATGGTTCACTTTCTCCTCAACAGCAACAAGCCTATCTTGCTAGTCTTGCTAGCAGGATGAAAACATTATTGGACACTTTCCAAAATGTGCCAGCCTTCAAGGAGGATTATCAGAAGATGGTGCCGGCAGACATCCGCAACACCGAACAGTACAAGAAATCAGGGCTCCCTTACATGTTGTCATGGCTATCTTCGAACAATTGGCAGCGTGCAACCACCATGGACGATCTCTTCAATGCTCATTTCCTGACCCCGGGCCAAAAAGATGTCCAGGACGCCAGCAAGGCTGCCGATGCCTCTGCAGCCGCTGCCGCTGCTAATCCTGCTGCTTCTCCTTCTCCTACTACTAGATGGGGAAAGATCATCGCAAGGGCAAAGAGCAACCCCTGCTCTTGCTTGCTACCGAGTGTTGCTGTGGCACTTGCACTGGCCTCGCTCTTTCTAGCGATGCTCTACTCTGCAGTCGAGGGAAGCTCCAAGCCGGCGATGAACTTAGGCCCGCTGCAGTATCCCATTCTCACAGACAGCAACTATGCTGCATGGGCCATCAAGATGGAGGCATACATGCGTGCTCAAGGAGTTTGGGACGCGGTGGTAGCCAAAGATCATCCCAAAGTTTCTGCGAGAAACAACCAAATGGCATTAGCCGCCATTTACCAAGCTATCCCGGAGGGGACGTTGTTCCTCCTATCCCAAAAGAATACAGCCAAGTCGGCGTGGGAGGCGCTCAAGACCATGCACATCGGAGACCAGCGCCTGAGGGATGCCAAGCTGCAAACCCTCAAGCTGGAGTTTGAGGGGTTGCGCATGAAGGAGACGGAGTCCACCGACGACTTCGCCGTCCGGCTGACGACGGTCGTCAACAAGATCCACGCACTCGGTGAACGCATCGAGGAGCCATACACCGTCAAGAAGTTCCTCCGCGCCGTCCCCAACAAGTACCTCCAGATTGCTTCAACCATCGAGCAGTTTGGCGACCTCAACACCATGACACTCCAGGAGGTTATTGGGCGGCTCAAGGTGCATGAGGAGCGCCTAGGACGACTCGGCGCTGCCGAGAAGGAGAATGAGTTGTTGACACGCGCTGAGTGGATAGCAAGGGAAGAGGCCGACCATCTCAGCCGTGATGCAACCAAGGTATATGCTTCAGTTGCCAAGATCCTCCTTCGTGATGCCGAGAAGGAGAATGAGTTGTTGACGCATGCTGAGTGGAAAGCGAGGGAAGTGGTTGATCAGCTCAACCATGATGCACCCAAGGTATATGCTTCAGTTGCCAAGATACTCCTCGGCAGGAGCGGGGGAGGCTATGGCGGTGACACACACCGGGTAAGCGCTTCCATTGCTAAGATTTTGGACACTTTGTTTACAAGTGCCGCGAGGAAGGAAAGGGAGGTGAAATCCCTAATCGCCGAAGCTCATGGTGACAATGAAGCAACTCTTCGCCTCTGATGATATCCCGAGAATAAAGGTCAAGACAATGGATAATTGTAAGCGTTTACCTGGTAAACTGGTGTGATGTTTTATTATCTGGTGTTGTGTGTGAGTGTGTGAGTGTTGTTGGTGGCCAGACCACTCTCTTTTTTGGTACAGTTTCGACCCTACTTTAATGCAATAGTTGTTCTCGTGAAAAATGTATAATCAGTTTGCTTCATGGACAGCTGGGAATAAAAAAAGAAGGAAATATATAAAATGATCAACGCAGTACTCTAGCTAGATATAGTTTTTTTTTCAGAATGAGATATTACTTAGCAACACGACCATCTTAGATAAAGGCTTCAATTTTTATTTTTATTTTGAGAACTGGATAAAGGCTACATGATACCATTGCTAAACCAACATACATTTTTTTTGAGACAAGCTAAACCAACATGCATTCTCTCAAGAGGACATAAAAAAAAGGAAATGAACATTTTTACATGGACTTCAAACTTATTTGGTCCTACCTCAGCCCAGTTCAGAGCTTAGGATAACTCTTCTGGAGACAACAAGGCCCGGTTATGGGGGCACTGCTATACCTCGCTAGGGTTATTGATCCTAAAAAAACCCGCTTGAGCTATTTAACGCTCTCTGCGTCAAACTTTTGGGGATTTTTGCTAGGAAAGGGAGTGAGTGAACGTGGCTTCAGCTATCCCATTTTAGCTGTCCGGCTTTGGGAACCACTCGGAAGGATTCGTTTCGGTTTTTACTGGGTTTTTTTCTTTGTTTTGCTGTTCTTTAACCTGTTTTCTAGCATGTTTTTCTTTTATGGTCTTTATTGTTTTCTTTTTCAAGAACTTCCCCTTTTTTTCAATGTTCACAATTTCAAAAACTCTTGGTGTTTCGAATATTTGCTTTAACTTTCGAAAAGTGTTCACAAATTTGAAGAATTTTTATATTTCTAAATATTGATCAAGAGTTTCAAAATTTCACAAAATGTTTCTGTTTTCAAATTTTGTTAACAAAATCACAAAATGCTATTGAACTTTTTTGAAAATGTTATAGAATTTTCTATGAAATGTTTATGATTTGAGAAAAATGCTCCCAATTTTAAAAATAACTAGAATTTAGAAAATCATGCTTCGAAAAATGCAAAATTTTAAAATACGAGCAAGTTTGAAGCATTTTCCAGCTTAATTTCCTCATATGGCTATGCGTTTGAAATGAAATTGACTGGACTTGTGCGGATGTGTTGGGGATATGGTCGAATGACCGGCTCCCGTATCCGTGTTCGTGGGCTGGTATGAACCTATCCACGAACAAACAATGTGTTTGTTTTTAGGGTCTGACTTAGGGCTAGAATTCAAGCCGAGTCAAGCCAGCTCGGCTCAACTCGTTAGAGCTCGTTAAGATAACAAGTTAGCTCGGCTCGACTCGTTAACATAACAAGCTAAGATGCAAATTCGGTTTAACTTGTGTTACTCGCGAGCTAGCTCATTGAACTCGTTAAACTTGTTATAAACATGAACAAAAAGGTACATGTATTATGATTTTTTTTTTCAAAAAAAAAGCTATACATTTTATGCATGCAATTGATCAACAAAAGCATATTAGTAGCCACATATTATTCTTCACAAATCACAATAGTCAATAATTTAAACTAGAGGGGCACTTAGTGCACTCTAAAAATGATAATAGTTGACAAAAATGTTGGTATTTATACCATGCCCATTCTAATAAAAGAGCTTAATGAGATAAACGAGTAGCTTGTTATGTCTGCTCTTTTAACTCATTTTGTTAACGAGCTAAGACTGAAACTCGGCTCGCCTCATTAGTCAACGAGTTCAAGTCGAACCGAGCTGAGTCACGAACACAATAATATGTGGCTGCTCTTTTACACATTGTTCATCACCCTTTACACATTAGCTCATGATTTTTGAGTTTTTATTTCAGTCCAAGGTCTGAGTTGGAGATCTAAGAGTATCTACAGCCTGATGTCTTGAACCGGCCTCAAACCCACATGTGTCTTTTTTGAATAACTTGAATTACTTACCACATGTGTCATCTGAATCAAAAATGTTAACCATGTATCAAAAATGTGTTCATCATATATTAAATTTATTTCATCATATAATAAAAATTATCAACTTATATTAAAACATGTACTTAATAAATGTTTATAGTTTATCTTAAAATGTTTCACATTAATAAAAATCATTTTATTAATTATAAAATAATTTAAAGAATGTTCAATGTGTGTGTGTTGAAAATGTGAATCGTACATTTGAAAATGTTCAAGGTTATTAAATAAGTTCACTATGTACTATAAAAAATTTCAACATGTATTTTAGAAAGTTTAGATGTATATCGAATTTTCAACATGCTTTAAAAAGTTCAAAAAATTTAACTATATATAATTGTACGACATTATTCAAAATATTTAATTAAATAATGATCTTTTTCAATACACATAATTTTTTTTAAAACATAATGACCATTTTTAAACGCACTAAACATTTTCTGAAATATATAATGAGCATTTTTAGAAAGCAACATGCTGTACATTTTCTTATACATGACAAAAATCAGTTAAATACGCAATGGTTATTATTTATGAAAACATGATGTTTTTTTTGTAATACACAAGGAATGATTTAATACAATATGAACAATGCGTAAAGGGTGATGAACACAAAAGTAACAGATAGAAGAAAAAAGAAATGGATGAAAAATGAAAACAGAAACTTGCAACAAGGAAGAAAAAGAAACAAAGGAGAAAGGTGAAAATAACAAAAATAACAAAAATAGATAAATCAAAAAAAAAGGTTGCACATACCTACCACGGGAAGATAGGCAGAAACCAAAAAATTAGCTAGCTGGGTTGCGGCTTGCGATCAACCATGTGAAGGTGAGAGCTATGTGCACCGCAGTAAGTGATGTTTCAAGGTCAAGTGCGATGCAATGGAGAGCACCAGACTGGGGAGTGGCAAAGGTCCAGGTCGATGGCGAACTAGCAAGGAAGGGAAGGAGCTGGGCAATTGCGACAATGTGTCGCGATCATTCAAGGGATTATTTTTTGGGTTCTTCAGCTATTGTTTTCAATGACATATCAGAACTAGCGACGTTGGAGGCACTGGCTTGCCGGGAAGCTTTGGCACTAGCTCTTGATCTATCGCTAGACCGCATCATTATTGCATGTGATTGCAAAGCAGTTGTCATGGAGATAAAAAAAAGTACAGAAGGAAGGTAGAGTGCTATCATTAAGGAGATTCGTGCTCGAGCGAGAGATTTTACTAGCTGTGAGTTTATTGTTGAAGGACGTAGTATGAACTATGATTCCCACATTTAGCTAAGTTTTGTTCCTTTTATAGATGAGGATTGCCATTTGTGGATGGGATTACCCCACGACCCATTTGAGTAGCCACATATTATTCTTCACAAATCACAACAATCAATAATTTAAACTAGAGGGACACTCAGTGCACTCTAAAAATGACAATAGTCGACAAAAAATGTGGGTGTTTATATCATGCCCATTCTAATTAACTAGCTTAATGAGTTAAACAAGTAGCTTGCTAGCTCAGCTCTTTTGACTCATTTTATTTACGAGCTAAGATTGTAACTCGGTTCAACTCATTAGTCAACGAGTTCGCGAGCCGAGCCGAGTCACGAACTACTCGTTTAGCTCACGAGTTTTGAGTTTTTATTTCAACCATAGGTCTGAGTTGGACATCTAAGAGCATCTACATCCGAGCGCCTCAAACCGGTCTCAACCACCAGGGTATATTTTTGAATAGTTTGAGTTGCTTACCACATGTGTTATTTGTATCAAAAAAGTTAACCATGTATCAAAAATGTGTTCATCTTATATTAAAAAATGTTCATCATATAATTAAAATAGTGACCAACTTGTATTAACATATATATATTCAAATGTGTAATATAGGTTTATAGTATAGTTTAAAATGTTTCACATTAATTAAAAATATTATAATGGATTATAAAATAATTTAAAGAATGCACAGTGTGTATGTAGAAAATGTTAATCATGTAAGTAAAATGTTCGACATTATTCAAAAATTTCTCTATGTATTATAAAAAAATTCAACATGCATTTTGAAATGTTTAGATTTATTTTAAAACTAACTATATATAATTGTACGACATGTATTCAAACTATTTAATCAAATAATGATCATTTTGAGAAATACACTGAACATTTTCCGAAATATATAATGACATTTTTTAAAACACCCTGGACATTTTTTGAAATATATAATGACCATTTATAAAAAGCAACATCGTGAAAATTTTCTTATACGTTACAAAAATCTGTTAAATATGCAATGGTTATTTTTAATGACTACATGATGTATTTGTTTGAAATACACAATGAATGATTTAATACAATATGAGCAATGCTTAAAAGGCTGGTGAACACAAAAGTAACAAATGGAAGAAAAAAAGCAATGGATGAAAACAAAAAACATAAACTTGAAACGAGGAAGAAAAATAAAACAAACAAGAAAGGAGAAAAAAAATGAAAAAAAACAAAAACAAAAACAAAGATAACGAAGTAAAAAACAAGACTACACGTACGTAGCATGGGCAGACAACGAAAAACAAAATAAAATCGCTACATGTATGGACTAGCCCAAATGACGCTGGCGTGTAATTCGTCCACGGACGGGATTGAGTTGCTTGCCTAGCACAATGTGTCACCTCTAGTTAACATATACCCCTAAAAAACTTTAGTTAATAGTATAATTATTTAATTCTGCAGGGAGATTTAGTAGTATATTTGATCCCTACCACAATGTTTTGTCTTCATTATTTATTTTTGCACAGTTTTCATATTCCATTTCTACTTTCTCATTTTCTAAACCCAGTTTTTAAGAATGATCACAGCTAGATAAACTTTTTTCTGTAGAGAATATTTACAGAAAAAAACACACAAACTTTTTTTCGTCCGGAACGGAACGCCAACCGACTTCATGTGTCTGTTCGGCTGGCTTGTTTTAGGAAAAATGTGC